TAATTTTACTCAAACTATAACTCTATTTTTCACTATTATTCTTCAAATAGTTAATTGTTTTATTATTTTAAATAATTTTTTATTTTTATAATTTAAAATAATTTTTCTAAAAAAATTTAAAAAATAAATTTAAAATTTAAAATTTTAAAAATTAAAAAAAATAAAAAACAACCAACGTCAAATCATCCAACCCAACGCCATTAAAGGCGCTGGTTGGACATGGCGTTATTATGTACTATTTATAAACCATATTATATTTAATAATTAATATAGCATATTTTTTTGCTTACATCCGTTAATTTTTTTTCCATCTATTTGTTAAATTATTTTATTAATATATTTTAAAAATAATATAATTATTACTTTTTTATTTAATATTTATTTTTAAAAAAATACTACTCTCTTCGTCCTAAAATAATTAGGATATTTGAGATGATACGTGAATTAAGAAATACAAATATTATATTGATATTAAGAGCAAAAATATTTTTAAAAGATCAAAATACTTTCATTTTATATAATTATTATAAAAAAAAAATGAGAATAATTTTGTAAAAAAGATAAAGAGCTAGTTACTAAAATGAAAATAATACTAGTATTTTGAGAGGAACAAAAATGCTTTCGTCTCAAAAATACAAAATGAATATTAATTTTATTGTAGTATTTTTTTCCTTTTTTTAGTTATTGTGTTTTTTCATAATTTTTTAAAAATATATTTTTTCAAAAAATATTAATATATACATACTCATTATTTTTATATACTCCCTCCGTCCCAATACCAATCATGTTTATCATTTTTGTCATTTTCAAAACAATAGTCTCATTTCTATAAATAATTATATCACTGTAAAACTACCATTACTTTTTCATTATTATTACACAATTGTCGTTATTTTTTACACTAATACACTCGCAAGGGCAAAAAAGTCTTTTACCCGTACTTTTTACCCACTACCAATATAATATCAATATTTTTTAAATTCGGTGTCAAACACAACTCATACTGTAGTTTTGAGATAGATGGAGTACTATTTACACAATTTATTATACTGTATACAAAAATATTTTTTTTTCAAATAATTTCACTAAATAAACACACAGTACCTTCAGTTATCTCTTTATTTTTCTTAATTTTTAAAAAATATTTATTTTTTAAAATTTTTTGTATCAAATCCAAAAGGATACGTTTCTTTTTATTTGGTTAAAAAAATTTTAAAATTTTGATATTAAAATAATATTCATAAAATCTTTTGTAAAAGAAAAAAAGAATATTTTTTAAAAATATAATTCAAATAATAAAATTAAAAGAAATAGACAAAAGTATATGATTATATTTGTTTTGTGAAAGAATTTGAATGAATATTTTTTTATGTAATAGATTTCTAATTATATAAAAATTGTAACAATATTGAATATATATAATATGTTAATATTGTTGAAAATATATATATATATTTTATTAAAGAAGACATTCTATATATATATATATACTTAGTTTACGGAAACTCCAATTTTTTTTTTAAAAAAACAACTTGTAATATTTATATTGTATGTGAATTTATTTATGATTTTTCAATAGTATATATAATGTGTTGTATTGATATGTTTTTTATTTTTATAAAACTTAATTGTAGTATATATTGCTTAAAATGATGTCATATGATATTAGTTATTTGTTACTTACTCCGTCTCATATCTATATATCTATTTGTTTTTTACACAAAGTTTTAGAAATATTAGTATTATATTGGGATAAAGTAGAAATAAAGGTAAAATGACTCAATTAATCCTATTAGTATTATATAATATAAATGTAATGACATTTGTATAATATATTGTAAATTATAAGTATTTGTAATGTTAGATAGATAGTGCAATTACTAAAAAAATAAAATAAAATGAATACTTTATCATGGGACGAACCAAAAATGAAAAAATGAATAAATTGTTAAGGAACGGAGAAATCATATTATTTCTAATTCGTAACTCTATTTTTGTAGAACTATTACAAATTTCTTTCATTTTTGCATAAAGTGGAACAATAAGTCATCTATAACTAAATCTCTATTTTTGCAAACTACACTAAATCATAAATATATGTATATACTTTTTATTAAAAGAATACACTCTATATATATATATATATTCCATCTATCGTTTAACAAATTATCAATTTTTTTTTTTATTTTTGTCTATCTCATGACAAAGTATCTATTTTTTTAAAAATTTTACTATCTACTAAATATTACAAATACTTTTACAACTTACAATATACTCCTCCGGTCACCGTTACCGTGTCCTTTTTACCGACACATAAATTTAGGAGGAGTGTAATTAGTAAATAATTAATAATGCATTAGTGAAAATAATTAATTTATAATAAAAATAATTTTATATTGAGATTAAAATAACTAATTAGTGTAACTAAAATTAAAAAAATTATAAATTATAAATTTTTAAATAAGATAAAGTATACTCCCTCCGTCCACAAGAAAAGTATACAATTACTTTTGGCGCGGTGTTTAAGAAATAATAGTATTTTAATTATAGTGGGTAGTTAAAATTAGTGTAATGAAATTTTTGCCCTTGCTTTTTGGTGTAAAAGTAATGATGTGATGTAAAGTAGGGGTATTTGTGGAAAAAAATAAGGTATTTAATGAAATGTTTACTTTGTAATTAGACGTCCCAAAATAGAAACATGTATACTTTCTAGCTGGACGGAGAGAGTATAAGTTTTTTTCCAAAAAGAAAAAGTGATAGGATAAATGAGACAGACAAATGAAAAATGGGACACGGTCATTTGGATCAAAGAAATACCTTTTATATCACACAATGTTAATAAAGTTATTTTAGTACTATCTCCGTCCTAATACAATAATCTTGTTTACCATTTTTGTCCGTCCTAAAAAAATAGACTGATTTCTATAAATAATCATATCACTATAAAATTATCCTTACTTTTTATTATTATTACAAAATTGTTACTACTTTTTACACTAATATACTCACAAGGATAAAAAAATCTTTTACATGTACTTTTTACTTACTATTAATATAATATTAATATTTTTTAAATGCCGTGACAAATACAATCAGACTATAATTCTGGGATGGAGGGAGTAAATTTTTTTTTAAAAAAAACAAAAAACAAATAAAAAAATTAAAATGTTAAAAACAATGTGTCGATTCACAGGAATGACAGTAGTAGTAGAGTAGTAGTAGTCAGTTATATAGGTTGATAGATATGGATAAATATTATGGTTATATTAAGAGGATTCTGCCGCCACGAGGTCAAGGACAACATGATGATCCAATGGGAAAGGACCAATGCGCCAGCCAATCACCCGCCGACGCCGCTGTCTCTGTGGGTCCCACGACCTTTATGTCTTCGTCTATCTATCCACAATAATTATTGGCCACATGCCACTGCCTTCTCACCTTTATTTATGTGTTCTCTTATTCTCACTACAATAATAATTTTGCTTTTACTAATATCCTTGTATAAAAAATTATACTGCCTCCGTTCCGGATACTGCTACACTATATATATATATATATATACGGCATTTTAAAGAGGTGTAATTAAATAGATAATTAAGAATATATTAATAAAAATAATTATTTTATAATATAAATAATTATAAATTAAGATTAAAATAATTAATTAGTTTAATTAAAATTAAAAAAAATAAAATTTAAAAATTTAAAATAAGATTAAAGTGTATAATCATTTTCCAAAAAAAAAAAATGACATAGTGGGACGGACAAAAACGACAATATGAACATAGTATTTGGGAAGGAGAGAGTACTATCAATCCTCTGTCAAGGAGAGAAAAAAAAAAAAGAAATTGAGTCAATTGGTTTGTTTATTCTGGTTTTTATTATTTATTTTATTTTTTATTTTCAAAAAGTAGTAAGTATTATATTTACTATGTATATGAATATTTTAATTATTGCATCTACTATTTGTTTATATCCGTTGTGAAATAGGAGTATAATTTTTTTTAAAAAAATAAAATAATATTTGAATTTTTTACTTTATATAAAGATTATCATACATGTCTCGATAAAAATAAATTATATTTATTTTTTATACAATATTTTAAAAAATTAATCAATACTTAGACAACTAATTTAAAATTATTAATAACTAAAAGCAAAATTTTAATTTTTGAAGTGTTAAAAGAATACAACATAATATTTTTTTAAAAACCTTATTTAAATATATGTTCAAATATTTAGATGCAAGTTTAAAAATATGAGTAATAGTTATAAAAAAGTAATGCGCATTTTTGCTAAAAAATAATAATCATAAATTTTTAATAACAATCCAAAAAAAGTGATATTGATTTAGGTGGCAGAAAAAATATAACATAACAAGAAGAATTCTCTTTAAATATTTTTTTTGTTTCCTTTTTTTTTAAAAAACAAGAAATGATATTTTATGTCCATTTTTATACAAAAATATAATCCAATATCCATGATGTAAATAATTTCATGTCAAAGTTATATTGCTCCATAATTTTAATATTTCTTTTCCACATGTATATAATTATTTATTGTATTCAATACTAATAAAATGGAACCTAAATTAAAGTAATACTTTTGACAATATTAAAAATAAATAAATAAATAGATGAGCAAATGAAAATCAACATCAACCCGTGAAGAGAGTGGGACCCACTCTCAGCATCGCCACATCATTTGTTCCCAAGTGGCCAACCAAAGATACTTATACAGTTACACCTAATTTACAACTTTATTTAATTAATGTCCTAATCACAATTTGTGGGATGCCTTGCCTGCCTTAATATTTAATTTGATTGCCGGTTTTAAGGGACGCTGTATTTATTTATTTATTTTTATAACAATTGCGCAACTAATTAAGGGCCGGAATGGAAAAAATTGCATCAAATTTTAATAATAATAATAATAATATAATTACTCTATCCGTTACTGAAAAATCAAATCAAATCAAATTAAATTAAATCAAATTAATATAAACAAGAAAATAAAATAGATAAAACTTAGAAGATTAGCATTTGTACTATGATTAATCAGGAGATCTGATTCCCCAACCTTTACACACTACTGTTGCCTGCCAGACATGTCCTAACTTCTTACTGCCACTCACTGACCATTCATTATTAATATACCACTGCAAAACTATCGGCAAAATTAAACCCAAAAAGCCATTTCTTGAAAATCCCTGAAAGGTCATCTTCTTCTTCACCATTGTTGTCATCATCATCATCTCTGTGCTGCAAATGCCTTATTACCAGCTCTGCCCTTTACCTCCAAGATGCCTGTAATAAAATAAAAAATGAATCTTTCTGTTAAATTGAAGCCGGGGAAAGTGTGCATTTAGTGAATCAGAAGAATACTAAACGACAGTGAGAAGTATAAAAAAGGTTCATTGATTCCTACTACTTCCTCGAGCTTTGTATTTATTTAATTTTTATTTTTGAAAAATTTGGGAGTGATGATGACCAGAATTGCTCAAAAAAAGCAAAAGGGTAATTGAAGGGTATCTTTTCCCAAAGCCAGCCTCTGTACCATGTTTGTCTAAAGCGACTGTCGGAAAACACCATAAACAAGGATAACATTAACAGAGAAAGAAGAATGAAAGAAAGAATGGAGGTGGTAATAAAATTAATTAAAATTTAAAAAAGAAAAAAAGTTCGTCCGTACAAACCCTGATCAGTTCTGGTAGTGGCGCAGTCGGGAGGATCTTCGAAGAGGGCTAAGGAAAGCTGTTTATGAGCGAGTCCGATGTCGATGAGTATCAGGCCGGAGGTTGGGTCGTCGACGATGATGTCCTTTACCGGCAGCCATAGAAACAGCTCCTCCTGGGACAATCCCTCGACGCCGGTGAGGCTGCCGTAGGTCAGATTCGCGCGAACCTCGCTTTCGTAAAGAGCCATATTGGTGTCGAACTTTGTCAGGCACGGACCGTCGAGGAAGACCTGAAGCAGGCCCGATTCCGACAGGGTGAACGACCGGACATCCTTCGGCAGCAGCCCCGCCGGCAGGCCTTTAGATATCAGCAGGTCGTGGATGGAGGAGCACTCCGCCAGCGGGAGGAACAGCGCCACGAAGACGAAGAAGAAGGCGAATGGGCGGTGGGGGATTTGCTCGAACGCCATGGGAGGAGAGCTGCAGAGATTTTTTTGAAGTTTTTGGAAAGTCGGGAAGACGACGACGATGATGACTTGTGCTTTAGATATTATTCATTTAGAAGGAAGGCTTATGTGAATTTACCGATTTGCCCCGCGGCGTGCAATTTTTTTGTGGTCAAGCAAAAAAAATAATGGGCTTTGCTTGCAAGAAATGTGTTACTCTATAATCTATATGTTATTGACGTCGTATTGTATTTTAATTATTCGTACAAATAAGGTGCTTACCATTTCGATCAAATTATTAGGATTAATTAATAGGTATTTAAAATAATTTGTGGATCCACCCCATTTTCTTCTGATACAGAAAATTAATCTATATGGTGCATTCCAGCCAGATTATAGCTTTTTAATTAATCAATACTTTTCTAAAAATGGGCCATAGTTTCTAAAAAATTCCGAATATTCAAAATCTTGTCTTGCGAAGGGCATTAAGGTCATTCTCTGTGGAGACGAAAAGTCAAAATCAGTAGTACCATTTCAGGCAAAATGACAAACTAAACACTGTTCTCAAGCGTCTGAACGTTAACCAGCAACAGAGAGCTATATAGATATATGTATGAATATGATCTTATCTATAGATGATATATAATCAGATATATTTCAATTCCCAGCTTCATTTATTTTTATTTTTATTGTTTCAGTTATGGAGGAATGATCAGAGGGAATTTGGCATCAAATAAACAGCAATATATATATATATATATTCAGCTAAATCATAAGGTGGTTATGTTACAATATATACCGAATGAGGCAACCACTGTAATCCAGATTTATTGTGAAGGTGGAATTAATTATTAATATTATTAATAATTTATTATTAGCAGTAATGGTTACACTTGTGAATTGTGAAAGATTAATAGACCTCAAGCAATTTTATTTTATTATTATTTTTTTTTAATGATATGAAAAAGATTTGGCTAGTAACTTTTGATGGTTTTTATTTTAATATGAACTTTAGATGGTGTAATTTAAGTTTTGGGCAGTTACATTTAAAAGTTGTTTATAAGTCAATAAAAATTGTACATGAAAATAATGAAAAAAAAAAACAAATGAATAGTTTGAGTTGGAAGGAGAAAATACATTTTTTTTTATATATTAAATAAATATTATTTTTTAGTCTATTAATCTAAATTTTAATTTAAAATATACATTTGACAACTAAATTCACCTAAAAAAACAAAGGATAGATTCTTTTTAAATATGGGCCTGAGGCCCATTAACAACTGGACCGACCAACCCACTTTATATTTGTTGGGCCGGTTGGAGCTTTGGGATCTTACCTACCTAGCTTTGATGATATTTATACGAGCAACAGCCGAACGAGGTGATGACGTGGCAAACACATCTGACGTGGCGATTCTTAATTCGATATTATATTGAATCGTGACAGGTAGAGGCTGTGTTGAGTGGAAGTCGTAGCCCCGTAGGCCACACCATTCACAAAACCACCGATTAACTGCTGAAAGTTGAGCGATTCCGCCGTGCGATTGCTCTCACTCGCCGCCCCGCCACTCGGAGGAGCCCTACCTGCCGGCGATCGAGAATAATTGGTAATTTCCAATATATATATATAGATATTTTTCTCCGTCGGTTTCGTTAGTTGGTGTTACATTCGTCTGATTGCGACTGTGTGGTGTGCGCTGAAGGATCTACGTTTTTAAATTTCATGATCTGCATATGATTCTTGGAAATCTGCGGCTCCTCTCTAGTGGATAGATCTGAAGGTTTTTAGTCCCCCTGCATTTTATTTGTGTTGTGTTTATTGATGCCCATTTCTGTGAAGATGATTTTGGTTTGAGATGCGAGAATCGTTCTCCGTTTCCGGATGAACTTTTTTGTTTGATATGTTTGGTTATAACTCTGAAGTATACTTAGCTTAGATTTTTCAAAATTGTTGAAGGATTTTTTTATATTCTAATTTTTATTTTTGAAGTACTTTGTGGGTTCTTGTGAAATCTTATATGTCCGTTCATCATCACTTTTAATGTGTTTTCAGTACAGATTTTGGTTGTGAAGTATTTGAAGAAGATAGGGTACTGCTGGGATGCAAAGGAAAATCACATTTCTTGATTCCTACCTTGACAGGCGTCTTTTTTGATTTTCGGTGTTAGAGTTAAAAAATTCAAGATACATCGACAGGGTTCAGGGGGCGACTTGCCCCTAAGTGGCGAGTTTATTCCATACCCTGTTGTACGTAGGGCGAACTCCTTCCAAGCTGTTGCAATGGACAAGGATATGGAGGGTGGGAACTTGGGTCCCTATCAGGAGCGACCAAGGACTTTCCCTGACATGCGCAGTAAACCTAACACACCTTTGGTTAGTTATTTTAACTTGCTTTCTGAGTACTCAAATGCTTACTACACTTTTTCCACACACCAAGCATGGATTAAGCCGGAAAGAAAGAGAATGTGATCAGATGTGGAGACACATGAATTCACATTGTCAGTATCTAGAGTTAAAAGATATCAGTGGATGGTAGAGGAGTTTGTTGAAAATATTGAATAATTAGAAGAATGTGGTACATAGAAGAAAGCCCTTGTTCATTCTTTGCAATTGCAAAAACATGATCCAAAAAACATGAGTGTATATGAGAGCAGTCGTGTCTGGACACTGGTGATGCTACATTTAGAGGTAATGGGGGTAATATACTAGAGGCTGAAGACTGAATCTACTTACCCCCTTCTCCTTGTGCTTATATTTTTCTTCTTTTCTTAACTTCTAATCTGTAAATTTATAGTTGCTTGAGTGCTTATTGCATAAAAAATTGTGTTTTGCAGATTTTTCGCCTACTCATGAGAATAAACACTCGTGTCCTTTTGGTGCTTCTGCTCTTTGGACTTGGAGCTCTTTTGTATATTGGCGCAAGTACCTCACCAATTATTGTGTTTGTATACTCTGTTTGCATACTAAGTTTCGTAGTGTCTATATACCTCACTAAGTGGGTACTTTCTAAGGATGAGGGGCCTCCTGAGATGGTTATGGTAAGAATTTTCTTCTTCAGTGCTTTTGAAGATGTTTCTCAAGAAATCTCTAATAGTTTCATTCTTGAAGAAAGTGATTAAATCCTTTCCTCCCCCCCCCCCCCAATATCTTGTTGACGCTATATGTATACATAATTCCGCCATGAGAAAAAATTCTTGGTATTTCTATATGTTTAATTTCTAACTCAGTTCTTTTGTTGGGGTGGATGCTTGCTAGGACAGTTTGCAACCTCTAGAATGTAGGCTAGTATATATGCTTCATTGGCATAGAAATGGTACTGTTATTTATCTGGCAGAATTTTATGCATCAGATTTGAATCCGGATGAAAATTTATGTATTTTTGTCATTATTGGTTGGTTGGTTGGTTGGTGGTTGCTGTTTTTATTATTTTATTATTATTTTTCCCTTAATAACTGTATCTGTATGAATAAAGTTTGAATAAAGTGACTGCTGGTCCTAGAGAGATTGGTATGCTGTCACTGTTAGCTATTGTTTTATGTATTGTAGCCATAGTTATGACTCCTTGGCTTTCTTTTCCTAGTATTCAGGACTACTTTGTGTAATGTCTATGGACATGAGTGCTGGATGTTGATTCGACTTAAAAGCAGAAGTCTGATTTTTCATTTATAAGTTGATGACTAGTTTCAACTCCGTAACTTAACTTTGTACTTGCTAGATATCAGATGCTATACGTGATGGAGCTGAAGGTTTCTTCAGAACACAGTATGGAACTATTTCAAAGATGGCTATTTTACTTGGATTAGTAATCCTGAGCATATACCTGTTTCGCAATACGACTCCTCAGCAAGAATCATCAGGTTTGGGGAGGTAATATAGGTTTTCTTTCTGGTGGATAGTCTTCCTTTTTTTCATTACCTCACCTACCAGATTATTCGTTAGCCTCCATTCTCTCTGTGGTATTTTTTTTTTTAAAGTGGGAACCACTTCCTGTGTTGATGCAGGTCGACATCTGCTTATATCACTGTTGCTGCATTTCTTCTTGGGGCACTTTGTTCTGGTGTTGCTGGTTATGTAGGAATGTGGGTCTCCGTACGTGCAAATGTTCGGGTGTCAAGTGCAGCAAGGAGATCTGCAAGAGAAGCACTGCAGGTTGTTCTCGATATTATTACATGATCTTTAGATGAGAATGCATTTTGCTATATTGAGTTGCCATAACACTTCTATAGGTCGCTGTTCGTGCTGGTGGTTTTTCGGCACTTGTGGTTGTTGGAATGGCAGTCCTTGGTATTGCGATCCTTTATGCCATTTTTTATGTTTGGTTACGAGTTGATTTACCAGGTGGCATGAAGGTTACTGACTGTGAGTATTGCTTCACAGCTTCTTAACTTGATAAATATCAAAATTTTATGTGTTTGTGTGTGTTTCTTTCTTTTCTATCTTCCATCCTTGCAGGTGTTTACAAGGTTTTTCTTCTGTTATTTCTTTCTTTCAGTGCCTCTGCTTCTCGTTGGATATGGTTTTGGAGCTTCATTTGTTGCACTTTTTGCTCAGTTGGGTGGTGGAATATATACAAAAGCAGCAGATGTCGGGGCTGACCTTGTTGGTAAGGTTGAGCAAGGTATTCCTGAAGATGATCCTCGTAATCCTGCTGTCATTGCTGATTTGGTATGTGAATTTTTTATATTTTATTTTATATTGAGCAACCCTGTTATCGGGAAATTGTGATTGTCATTTGTGTTATGCTGTGAACCTCAAAAAAAAAAAAAAAAAAAAGAAAAGCTTTTAGGCATTGTTTTATAAGAATTTTGTCTGTTTGTTTTCTACCCCATTATTCACACACACACACACACACACGTATATTTGCATTTCTTTCTTCATGGCTGATAATGACATTCATTTACAAATTTAAAGGTTGGGGACAATGTTGGTGATTGTGCTGCCCGAGGTGCTGATCTTTTCGAAAGCATTGCTGCTGAAATTATTAGTGCCATGATACTTGGTGGAACAATGGCACAACGCTGTAAAATAGAAGGTGAATTATTGTTTCTATTATTACATGAACAAAACATTCGGAATCTTTACATTTTCTGTTCACTTTCTTAAACATGTATCCATGGATATTAGCTGCCCTTGCACTTATAATCCATGTTATAATTATCATAAAACAAACATAAAATTAACTGTGTCATATTTATACTTGCATGCAGATCCATCAGGCTTCATTTTGTTTCCACTCGTAGTTCATTCATTTGACCTGGTGATATCTTCAATTGGAATCTTTTCTATTCGTAATGTACGCGATCCTGGAGTCATTGGCGTTATAGAGGATCCAATGAAAATTCTTCAAAAAGGATATTCCGTGACAGTGATCTTAGCTGTGCTAACATTTGGTTTGGTAAACATCTCTATCTTCTCTTCATTTAACAGTTAAATCTCCAGATCTATAAATCCTTCGTATTCTGGTTTACTTGCTACTTTTTGCCCATACGTTTATGTTTATTATGTGGTTCTATCATTTTCTTATCTGGTGATGGCTGGCGAATGCTCTTGTTGTCACAGTCCACACGCTGGATGCTGTATACTGATCAAGCTCCTTCTGCTTGGTTGAACTTTGCCTTGTGCGGCCTGGTTGGGATAATGACAGCTTACGCATTTGTATTGATCACAAAGTATTATACTGACTACAAGCATGAACCTGTTCGCACACTAGCACTTTCTAGCTCCACTGGACATGGGACTAATATAATTGCTGGAGTTAGCTTGGGTCTGGAATCAACAGCTCTTCCAGTCCTTGTCATAAGCGTATCTATTATCTCAGCATATTGGCTGGGCCATACATCAGGGCTGGTTGATGAGTCAGGAAATCCAACAGGTGGATTGTTTGGGACTGCTGTTGCTACCATGGGAATGCTCAGTACAGCAGCATATGTTCTCACAATGGATATGTTTGGGCCAATAGCTGATAATGCTGGTGGAATTGTTGAAATGAGTCAGCAGGTATTTTGGATAATCTTGAGGTGTACAGGCTGCCTTTGATGTCACCTTGTAAGCCAGTGTAATTTTTATGTATATCTTTATGTTATGATGTATATGTGAATTACTTGCCAATTACAGCCTGAAAGTGTGCGCGAAATTACTGATGTTCTCGATGCTGTTGGGAATACTACAAAAGCTACGACCAAGGGGTTTGCAATTGGATCTGCAGCACTGGCATCATTTCTTCTTTTTAGCGCCTATATGGATGAAGTGTCTTCTTTTGCGCATTTGCCCTTTAATCAGGCATGTAGACTTACACTGGCCATGTTTATTCTGTGATTATTCCTAGGATCTCTGCTACCTGAAAGTTGAGAGTAAACTTAAAAGGTTGCATGTTTCTTTATGTTACTGTTTTCTCTTGATGTGTTTCCAGGTTGACATTGCCATCCCTGAAGTTTTTATTGGTGGATTGTTAGGCTCTATGCTTATATTTCTGTTTAGTGCATGGGCCTGTGCTGCAGTTGGAAGAAGCGCTCAGGAAGTTGTTAATGAAGTTAGAAGGCAGTTCATTGAGAGGCCAGGAATCATGGTTTGTCATTATTATGTTTATATCTGTTTTTTGCATGGTAAATGTTGGATTTTTTTTCAAATACCTGTGTTCATTGTATTGCTAAATTTCTCAGGATTACAAGGAAAAACCAGACTATGGCCGATGTGTATCCATTGTTGCTTCTGCATCATTAAGGGAAATGATAAAACCTGGAGCATTGGCCATAATATCGCCTATAGTTGTTGGTAAGACTTTGATTCCAAATTCCAGGTTTCTAAAACATGTTCTGGATAACCTAATGTTATTGTTAGATGGTAGGAAGAAAAGCACATTACAATATGTGACATAGTAAGCCTTTCAGCATACTATTCGCGTGCTCTTCTGAAAGCATCGATCTGTCTGCAGTCTGCCAGGACTGACTTCTCTCAAGCTATGTCTCTGATGTTAAAAGAAACAACATATGCTGCTTTCTAAATGTTCACTTCCTCTAGATTTTAGACGAATTACAAATGTTAACTGAATGCTCTCTTACGATTAATTGTGGTGGGTGCCTGATTAAAGAATCCCTTCAAAATTTTCTTACGATTCTGCCTTTTGTCCTTTTCCAGGATTTCTATTCCGGATACTTGGCCATTATACAGGCCACCCTTTGCTTGGGGCCAAGGTTGTGGCTTCCATGTTGATGTTTGCCACAGTGTCGGGCATCCTCATGGCCCTTTTCCTCAACACAGCCGGCGGCGCCTGGGATAATGCAAAGAAGTACATAGAAACAGGTGCACTAGGAGGCAAAGGCAGCGACTGCCACAAAGCCGCAGTCACCGGTGATACGTAAGTTTTTGCATAACATGCTTTTGGCATAACATGGCTTCCATGTTGATGATTGCTCAACCCGTAGTCTTGTTATCATTTTTGACAGGGTTGGAGACCCGTTCAAAGACACGGCAGGGCCATCCCTTCACGTGCTCATCAAAATGCTGGCCACCATTACACTAGTAATGGCTCCCGTGTTCCTCTGAACGCCGGGCACTTACTTCACTGATTAGACAGACAGACGCCAAATGCATGCTTGTACACACTAATGAACTAGCTAGCTAGCTAGCTGGCTCTTCTTGATGTAAATGGTGTCTACTCGAAATAACGTTATTAGTGACCCCCCAGATTGTTTGTTTCTAGCTTCAATGTGAGTTGAGTTGAGTTGAGTAAATTTTGGACAGGAACAGTTGCATTTTCTTGCTCTTGATATACTTTGATTCACCCGGGAGGAAATATACAGAGACAGATTCAGTAATTAGATATTGACATAACAATCCTGTAAAAAAGCCAAATTGAAGAAAGTCTCCCTTTTACGACATATAAGTTCTTCAAGACATTGAACAACTTTTTCCATATTTTATTTTGTAAGAACAATGTCAGCTCAGTGTATTTGTGTGTATTTACATATATATATTTATATTACTGAAACACCCATTATTTGTCAAACTTATGAAGATTGGGCAAGTTAATTTTAGTGAGTCTTTTATACTTTTTTTTTTTTTTTGTATTTAACTTAAAAAATATATTTATATTTGTATAATTTTTTATACAAATATAATAAAATATTAATAAAAATATTTTTTTATTTTTTTTATTATATTTTAGTATAATAATTAATATTGGAACTAAATGGAACATGAACCTCAGAGACGGAAGTAGTATCTGTTTACGAAACTCTCTCTTTTTTTTTATGAACACAAAACTCTTTTGTTTAAATGAAGTCTTTATTTGCAATAAAAATATTTATTTTATATTAAAAAAAAATAATTAAAATATGCTTAGAAAGGCACATAATAAAAATATTTATTTTATATTAAAAAAGATAATTAATACTCCATATGCTTTATGAAGGCACATACACGAGTCGTTGACACAGTAAATGCAAATGGATCAAATGATATTAGGTTAGGTGTGCAGCGGATGATGATGAGCACGAAAGGTTGCAATCGTATACAAGTGTCAGTTAATGCGGAAAAGGGTTGGATATCGAATTTATGAGCATGAATTGGTATTAGGCAGTTTGACGAGAATGGCGTCAGTCGTCGCCCTCGGCCTTCTTATTGCTTCACCAAACAAGGCAACAAACTGAACAAATTGGCAACTGCCGTGTCTGACGACGACTATTAGTATTTGCCACATCCAAAATACCTGATTTCCTCTCCTCTCTCCCCCTCTCTCTCTACCCTAATTTTTGAGGTTCGTCTCTTAGTACTATCAAACTTTTCATTTTTCCCCCTAGTTTCTGTAATTGTTTGTTTTATTATGATTCTTCATTGATATGCCCGTGGTTGGATGTTTGTGCTGATTTTTGTAAAGTTAGATTCTGTTTACGCTAAGCTTGGATTTAATGGTTAGTTATCTTTGATTCGGAAACAAGGATCATGTTAGAGATTTAATAGTCCTTTTCTGGTGATTTCATTGCATTGAGATGCTGAAGGATTGAATTAACCTTCTCGAATGGACTACTTTTTATTTATTTTTTTCTTAGATTTGATTTGGTTTCTAGAAGAATTCGAATTCTTATTTCTCACACAGAAATATTCCTTTTGTTTCCCACTTTTTCCATAACAGAGCAGGTGCAATCTGCAGATCTCCACTTTTGTATATTCATATAAAAATGAAGGCAGAGTAGCTGAGTATGAATATGATTTTGTTTATTTCAACTTCTACTCTCACAACTATTGTATTCGAATTTCCTTGAACTACAGGACGTTTCCATCAGCTGTTGAGGCACATTATCTTGACATATTCTTCTCTTTATAAACATCATTTGATCGGATGGGTAATTTTAAAGGTACTTTGTGGCTGTTTTCCCCCTGATACTGTTACATCTTATTAGATATAAAGATAATGGAAATCTTGAACTCGTCTGTTGTGTTGCTAATATAGGAAATGCCATAGTGCTTATGGGGGTCAGTGGTGCTGGGAAATCGTGAGTATACACACATTAAATCCTCCTAGTCTGTTTCCTAGTTTAAACCTTATGGATTCGATATTGGTAAATGTTGTATTGCACTGTCTGCAGAACAATAGGCGATATGTTGGCCAAAGTGATGAATGGCCGGTTTCTTGATGCAGATGATTACCATCCACAGGCCAACAAAGGTAGCCATGTTTGATCTTTTCGGATATGTTTTAGCAGCACCATTGCAGAAGCTAACATTCCATTCTGTCTTTTTAACATAACAGACAAGATGAGGAGTGGGATCCCTCTTTCAGATGAAGACCGGATCCCATGGCTTGAATTGCTACGGGATGCCCTGAGAGTGAGCTTGGCAAGGGGTGAGACCGTAATTCTTGGTTGTTCGGCTCTGCAGAAGCATTACAGGGATATACTTAGATGCGCGGATCCTGAGTATGAGCAGGGCTCTTGTGGTGGTGCCGTGAAGTTTGTGCTGTTGAGCGTGGGGGCTGAGGTGCTCGCTGCTCGGCTGGAGAAAAGAGTGGCAGAAGGGAAGCATTTCATGCCTCCTAAACTCCTGCAGTCGCAATTGGAGTTGCTGCAGATCGATGAATCCGAAGGGATACTCAAAGTGGATGCTTCCCATGAACCCGAGGATACATTGGAGATTGTACAAGCTGTGCTCATGCCGGATTCGGTCATGGAGACGAGATCAAACGGAGTCCGACTCAATAAGCAAGAGGCTTGATAACCTACTGGTTTCTGCTATTCATTCGTCCTTATTCTTGCTCCCTTGGAAGAGAACTTGTTTTACGGGAAGCTGGCAGAATTGTGAGGTATGATTTTTCTATGTTCCATTTCAGATACTACTAAAACTAACTCTGGAAAAGAAACTATCAAAACTAAGATATTATCTAATAGAAGCATTTGGTTCCATGGAGGTTAGATTAGATTAGATTGGGAATAGGAAGTGTAATAACACTTGCATCAGCTCTAGATTTTCATTATTAAGGTTTACAACCCTTGTGATTTATGATATTTTTAAAGACTCAAATGAGTTCAAATTAAAACTTACAAGGATCCCAACAGAAGGATTGTTTCTTCTTCTTCTTTTTTGCTTTTTTTGATGGGCTGGATTGGTCTATGGAAGATGGGCCTTATGGGCCCAAATAAGGGAATGGGCTATGGCTTACAATTACACCGAAATGGGGTATAATTGTTGGATAAATTAGGTCAGTGGATTACTTAAACTCATAAAACAGCCCAATTCGAGTAAGAAGCCCAAAAAAGTGGTGAATTTCAGCACCAAAATATCAATTATGAGATGAAGCCATTTCAATGGGAGAGAGAGAGATGAGAAGAGAATTGATTGAATAATTGATTGCGTACACTAGACGCCTTAATTATGATTATATATCTGATTTAGATATTGGAATTGTTGAGCATCAAAATTCAAACATGATATTATATTATATTATATTATATGGTTTGTGTTGCTGTTTTGGGTCTTCTTTCATTGTTAACTAGTAATTTAAGTATAATAATAAATGCCATTTGGTTAGATTTTATTTGATGATTTGTTTAGATTCTTTTTATTTGAGGGAGCGGGAGCAGAGCTGCCTCTCTTTCATCACCCTATCCCTATCAGTAACATTATCTTCTTATTCTTCATTTCTACTCCCTCCAATACATTATTATTATTATTATTATTATTATTATCATGTCTAGACCAAATTTGGTATAATAATTCTATCCGGACTTATTAATTTAAAACTATTTCAGTAATAGACTCGGGATTAATAATTTATATAACCCCGAACCAGCCCAGTCGTTTTTTATTAGTATTTTTTTTTTCATAAATTATAAATTATAAATTATTTTAATATATTATTTATTAAATTATAAATTTTATTTTTATAAATTTAAATTAATTAAATTTTATATATAATTAATTTTATTTGTAAACTATAATTATGTTTTTATAATTATTTTATTTTTATATTAAAATTAAATAAAATAGAATAAATTTATTAAAAATTATAAATATAATAAATTAATCAATAATTAATATAATAAATATATATACAAAAATTTTATTATTTTATATTCTACATCATTCTTGATAAAAAAAAAAAATTCATATTTCTTAATAATAATATATACGGTTAATTTTTCTCACATCTAAAATGAATAAAAAATTATTTTATAACTGATTCGGAATTTATAACTAATACCAAAATTTTTAAAACTAAAAAAACACAATTAAAAAATTTTAAAAGTTAAAATATAAATGTTCTCGATTGTCATTTTACACATAAACAACTAATATCAAACCGTTATTTTACCAAATAGTTAATTGAATCAGTTAGTCAAACCAGCTAAGTGAATCAGGTAAAGGCTAACAGCTAATTGAATCGGCTAACGTTTAAAAACTATCACCTGGTTACCAAATACACCCTTAGTTTTTAGTACGAGAATTTAAGTAGAATAATTAAATTGAGAATTAAGTAATATGATAATAGAGAAATATACAATAATCTTTTTTATTTGAATGATATGATAAAATAAAATCTATTTAATTAGTTCCTATACTGAAAATGTTGCCGGATATATAAGACATACTAAACTAGAAAAATATTGTAAAACATACCAAACAAAAGAAGTAATACCGGTCTATGGGCTGGGTTGAGCTAACTTATACTCCCTACACCTGGTAATAAGAGTTGATTTATTTTTTGTTTTATTGTATTTAATGTTAAAAATATTTTTTTATTTGTATATACTTTATCATACATATATATTGTATTATAAACTACTAATACAATTATTATTTTTTTTTTCTTTTGATTTGTATTAAATTCTGATATAATAATTAATATTTAAACATTAATATACAAAAAGTAAATATAAATCATGTAATAAAACGGGATTGTTTCAGTTTTATCTAAGCCTTAACTGTTTATATGTATATATGCTCAGTTCTTATTGACCAAATTATTTTTATAAAATCTAACTGATAATATTGCTCAAATTAATGTTCCATAATGATGCTGCTGCAGTCATGTATTGTCTCACGAGCAATTAAAATAATTAGAATGCTACTAATAATTAAAATTCATAGGATCAAAGCTAAGTGTCGCAATAAAAATACAAGATAAAATTAAAAATTATATATATGTGTGTATTATTATCCAAAAGGATAATAATAATAATCGTAACAACATACAAGCAAAAAGGATTATTGTCCAATATATATATAAAAATATATGATCCACAAGTTCAACTATCTTGAAAACTCCTTTTCATCTGCCAATGAGTTTATTAATTATGTAGTAAATAAATAATGTTGTGTAGCTTTAATACATGTTTAATTAATTAATTAGGTACAGCAGGTCAACTTTTGTCCCTGTCAATGTTCCCTGCTGCCATTGCCATATGTTTTTTTTTTTTTTTTTTTTTAAAAAAAAAAATTAATTAAAAATCACCCTGGACTTGCCAACCAATGCTCGTGTTGCATCATGCAAATATTAAAAACGGCCGTGTTGGGACTATGAAAGACATCATCAACAGCAATAATAATAATAATAATAATAATACAAAATATATAATGATGCATGGAGCAGCAGAATTTACAAATATTATTATAGTACTGTATCACAAATACTGTATGTTACTGGTGAAGGGAGATTAGTGTGAATAAATTATTAATTGTGGCCAAGACTTTGATAATTAGAATAAATTAAACCTTTCATTAATACTAATATTTTTTATTTTTGTATGTTAGAGAGACAGACAAAGAGACAGGCAGACAGACAGACATGCCACAAGACAACAATATATATATATATATATATATAAACTAATTAATTAAATTAAAATTGACCAAGTTGGGATAGGATGATGACCCAACCCACTATTGCATACATTATTGAAAATTAAACCTAGCTAGCTAACTACTTAATTAATTAATTTACAATCAGATTGATTAATTAGAATAATATTAAATTGATATATATATATATATATATATATACAAGGGAAAAGAATAGAAGAAGGAAAAGAAAGAAGCATGTGTAATGTAGGTGGTGTATAATTGGGCCCTAAAAATGGGCCGGGAATAGGCCCGACAGTAGGATATACCTCACGTGCGGGTGGGGCCGCACGTGCTAATGTCCAATGTCTTGTCACGCGCAGACACGTGTGAGATGAGGTGACGCATAGTGCTTCTACTGTTGTGCTTAATTCCCATATACTATCACATATATATATATATATATACAAACTATGTGCGGGTCTCACAATGGGACAATTTCACGTGCTTTTCTTCTTTGTACAATTTTAATTTCAATTTCAATTTCATATCATTAACCATAATCATAATAATTGTTAGAACAATATTTTTCTCCAACTTCTTTTGGCATATGGTTCTTCTTGCTTTTCTCCTGCTGCCTTTTTCTGTTTCCATTCAGGTCATTTCAACAGACTGCCTGCAACTCTGATGGTCTACTCTTCTCGATTTGGGAACCTTAGAAGAGACAAAAAGAATGAATTTTGGGGTGGTCAACCTTTGACAGAATTCATGCAGGATTACATCATTCCACTTTCGTGCAAAGGGTTTTAATTGAGTTTGTCCTGTATGCTTTGTTTGTCTGCTTCTTGGTTTGTTATGTAGGAAGTTTTTTTTGGTTGTTGCATAGGTTAGAGAGAGAGAACTGTTGTGAGAGAAAGTAAGTTAAATCCTCTCAACCCCAACCCTTCCCTTCTCCATGCATTGAAAGAGTGCTTGTCACATTTACTTGCCGGAGACATCGTCGGAGGAAGAAGAGATTGGAAATCCGATCAGGAGATTCGTCCAAAGTCTGAGCAACCCTGCTATCTGCTAGTTGTCAGTACGAGCTCGTGACAACTTATACCTGTGGAGGGATTTTCCTAGGTGGTTTGCGTCATAGTATGGGATAAATGAGTTTTGGGCTGTTTAGTTCATAATCAACCTTGATTAGTGAACTTCTCCTGGATTGGAATCCCCCGGATGTAGGTTGGTTATAACCGAACCGGGTTACCAAATATCTTGTCTTTTATTGCTTTGGATATTGCCCTTATTTCGTTGACAAGATAATGTTACAACTGTGATTTTACCACGCTTCGGGAGTTGGCCCATTTGGAAAAGTGTACAAGAGTTTATCGGGGTTGCACTTATTCCATCCCAACATTTGGTATCAGAGCGGTGTTCTCTAAGTTGCTGAGTAGATTCTTTCACAGTTGAAAAGATGAGTAAGGAAGGTCGATCTACATCGAGACCTCCATTGTTTGATGGAACAAGTTATCGAAGTTGGAAAAACAAGATGGAAGCTTTTCTGATGCAACAAGGTGAAGATGTTTCTGAAGCTGTTGAGTCTGCATGGTCTCATCCCATGAAGACCATCCAAGATGACGATAACAACGTCTCTCTTGTGAAGAAACCGAAAAGAGAATGGACTCTCAATGAAAAGTCGGCTGCAATCGCCAATTCGAAAGCCCTTTTTTCGATTTTTAATGCTGTAGATGAAACTCAAGCAAAGCTGATATCCAACTGCAAAGTTGCTAAGGAAGCATGGGACATCCTGGAAAATGCATTCGAAGGGTCTGTACAAGTTCGAGAATCAAAGCTGGATCATGTTGAAACCTTGTTTGAAGGACTGAAGATGAATGAAGATGAAACGATTGCTGATTATCATAACAGATTCATGGATGTTGTGAATCAAGCTGAAGCTCTTGGAATGCACTTCGAAGAAAAGAGACTGGTGAGGAAAATGCTTAAAAGTCTCACAAAAAATTTCAGACCGAAAGTGATTATGCTCGATGAACCACCAAAGCTGAGAAATATGACATTGGATGAACTGTATGGTACGTTGGTGAGCTATGAAATGAACTATATCGAAGATGAAGCACCCAAAAGCATGGCTCTAAATGCTGAAGACTTGAAGATGATAGAGTCTGATGAAGAAATGGCACTGCTGAGCCGTAAACTTTCACGAATGATTAGTGAGAAACG